GACGTGCAAGACATTGATAATTTCAAGTACGAAGATTTCCTGATCGAGGGGTACAATCCATATGGGAACATTGCAATGAAGATGAGCGTGTAGGAATCTAATTATATGAATAGTTATGTATGAATGGGTTTGTCGTAACTCTTTTTCCCTCTCATCAGCGTCATACTCCAGGGATACTCACCCGGAGGCCTAAGAGTTTCCTTATATTGACTTGGCAGGCTACCTTCACAGCAACCGCGTCAAATTTCGGAGGTCCTGCCTCGACGTGCAATAGTTCATCAATGATATTTCATTAAGCTAATATTTCAATGCGGTCGAGTAAGGAAGGTTCACTCCACAGGTATGAGAATGATAGGATATTTATGAGCTTATTGCGGCCACAGGGAGATCGATAAGAGAAGAAAACCTTTTTCATTACCTTCAAGACGCACATGGTGTTCTCACTCGCGAGTTGTAAGGTAGTACAGTTATCGCCACCCCGAAGGTTCGTTTCGACAGACCTCGCTCGATTCCTTTCTAGCATGTGTCTGCATTATTCAGTCCAATTACATGAGCAGCAAGTCCATCTCATTTGGGTGGAGCGTCCCATTTGATCAAAACTTTCGTCATTCGAAATCGCCTCAAATTTACGAGATCATTTCTCGGTAACTTATCTCGTGTCCCTCAAAGACAAGCCCAGAAGCATGAAAGATCCGTCTTGATACGGTTTTAATGCCAGCACGAGATAAAGGTCTACAAATAAATAGCTCCCGAGAGGCGGACCATTGCCCAGAGCGAACAGGCGAAGTGCAGATTCTGGAGAGAGATATGCGAATGCTGTGATGACTATCTACGAATAGAAAGGCTTCGTATACAAAAGAGAACCTAGACCAGTGTTCTGAAGGCCCCTCTGGCCCCAACGTTTGACGATTCTGAAACGAACTCTGATGCGAAGAAATGATTCACCCAAGGGGGTTATATGCAAAATGAATCAAGACACCCTACTGATCGGCGAATCCCTTTGAGCGCTTGGAGGAGTGAGGTACGCGATTTCTGGTCTACCCACCTAACGGCTTCATTCCAGCCTCTAGCCTCCAATTTACCTCTTGTGGTATTTTTAGGTGTGCTATATTGGTCGCTTGGTCATCAGTGGACGGAGCAGCCTCTCGTGGTCATCTGTATCGTACTTCTAGTCAATTTTTTATCGCCGCCATGACAGGAGTCTCTGGAATGGACCTCGACCGTCTTGGCCCGTATACTGCACTTTGCCAAATTCATCTCCATTTGCCACCCGATTCAGGGCATATGTGGCTTTAAACACAGTGTGTCGTGCATCACGCCTCCAAGGTCCGCTGCTCTGGACCACGGGATGTGATTGAACGGTGCGTAGTGAATCCGTTTGATGACATTTATGATCGTACAATGAGAAAATCTACCGAAGGCCAGCAAATTGATACGGCAGTTCGGGGACGCGCCTTTGTATGTATATGTCAAGACAACACTTGCAGGAAATCAGCAACCGGTGGAATGGAACGCCACGAACATTTCTGCTGCTCCTCCAGAGATACATACGCAGTTATCAAGCACGGCCGGCGCAGCGACTTGCTGATCGAGATCTATGCGACGGCTCTGAGAAGCTTGAAACCAAGGTTTTGCGGATGAATGCGTCGTCGCTGATGCCGCCAGGTCGGTGCCCCGGTTCGTGTTTCTGCATAGAGTATAATCAAATGAGCTCGGGGGAATGAATGGAACGATGTATAGAAACTCTATTTATTTATGTACGCAACTAAGTTTTTCCAAGGAGGGAGTCACGTACACCGGCATTTTCCTTTCAATGGGCTAGCGCGTTCGGTGCAGAGCCATATAACATCCTCGTTGCAAATGCCCAACTGGCTCCAGTTCCCAAATCCGTCCTCAGAACTTTTTTCCTCCCCTTCTTTTCTCCCTCTCCGTATCCTCCTTTTTTCTCTCAATTTTGGGCAATGGCTCTCCAAACTGCCACTCAGGAAGATCCCTTGACTCGGGCGCTGCGACCCCTGCCGGAGGAGACTCCAGATCAACGAACCGCGAGACTCGAAGCCGAAGCCCTGGCAAAGACCATCAGCACCGAGATTGACGAGTATCTCAGGAAGGAGGCTCAGAAGAGAAAGGAGCAAAAGGTGAAATTGCTACTGCTAGGTGAGTCTGGAGTGCAAGCTCCGGCTACTATTTCGCGACGACTTGTTTCGATGCTGACCTCATCCCGTTTCTCTCCCTTCTGAAACATGTGCACTTTGCAGGTCAAGCAGAAAGTGGTCAGTATATTGAAACACCTCCCTTGCAGTAGAAAGCTGATACACTCTGCTTTTCGTCGTCAGGCAAGTCCACAGTGCTCAAGAGTGCGTCTTCTCCCGTCT